GGTTGGAAGGCTTTGGTATTTTGATTTAGTTAAGATGCATGCGACTTTTTATACTTTTAGAGTACAAGGGTACATTGTAGTCGTGTGAATGTAACCACTAACCATATATAACCAAAATACAGACTACTTATTTCATACAACGAAAATGGACGCAACAATTTCTTGCGACAGGTCCGAGCTGGCCCCAGAGAGAATCTTACTCTTCTTAATATTGGATTTAATAACGAAAGAAATTATATTATTTGTAAATATTATTTTTTAATACTTCAACATACATTTTGTATTTATTTAGGAATAAGATTAAGTGTTAGCAGTTAAATGTTTTGTATATATGTATATATTTTTACAAATCAATCAAAATCAATATACTGAGATAGGAACAGGGTATGTTTCAGGCGGAGTCACTTTAAACGCCGATTGCTTTTAAGTTTTAGTTGTTCTGCAAGAGGCTTGTCCCTGCATACCCTAACGATAGAATGACTTTTAGGGAAGAGTGAAGACACGAAAACAGCTGAATGACTTGTTTACTTTTTTTGTTGTGGCACTTGATATTAATTTGGTTTAATGTAAGATCTATGTCGTTAATTTAATCATTTTCTTTTTTGGTATTTTGGTTCTTTTTGGTTCTATTATTTTGGTTCTTTAAAAAAGTCGCCGCTCGAATTTGTTACTGATGTATCGAGCCCTATTAGCGAAAATAACGTAAGCGCCAAAAAGAAAATTATACAGGAGAGGGTTTTTTCGCATTATTTTCTTGGCCACTAACATAGGCGTTCTCAGTAAATAGATGCAATTAGTGTTTGATATTTTGGTAGCCAATGCGGTTGGTAATCATTTCATAAACATTTTTTTCTGAAGAATGGCGCTTACGTTATGTTTGCAATTAGACCTTGATATAACTTTTATTTATTCTACTTATATTTTATGAAAATTTTTATTTTTATAATTCTTTATTATTATTTAATTTTTGAAAGCTGAAATGAAAAGAAATAAGGAGCTGTAAAATGTTGAAGGTAAATAAAACAAGAAAGGACCAAATAAGGAATACTCATATTTGCCACCCACAATTTAACTAACTTTTATAGTTTAAACCAGTGTTGCCCAAGATCTGCATACGGGAGAGAAAAACTCCCAAACCAATGCAAATCATCAATACATTGGTGGGAGAATTTTTTTCCCATCCATGTGGGTGCACTGAAAATAAAATTATAGTAACATTCACAAGGGGCTTACAAAAATCAATGTAATCAAATGTAATAAATGTAATCAATGTAATAAAAAATACATTTTATTAAAGGAATTAAAATAAGGCCCTCCATTTTTATGGCAAATATGGGAAATCTATGGCAAATAATGCGTAAGGAAGAGCTTCTTACTTAAAAAAATGTTCTGCGAAGAAGAAATTCGTCGCTTCAGATCGACCATTTTGGCAGAAACAAAAACAAGAATGAATTTATTACAGTGAAAACTTTTCGGTACTCCAAAAACAAAACGCCATAGGATTAGCACTATTGAGGCGGGGAAACACGAAAAATTGTTATTGTAATTGCCCTTTGCCAATGCTGGGACCAATGAAGCTTATGGCGTGAGCAACGGAACCTTATGGCGTGAGCAGTCACACAAAACTCCATATGCATTAGCATTTGCAAAAACAAATGAGCAGCGAGAGTAACGGGATGAGCAACACTAGTTTAAACTTTAACGGTATGAAAATACCGTTAACCAAGACCACACTTTTGCGCTTAATAATAATTAAAAAAAAAAAAAGGCAGCCCGCCCCCTACTACCGATTCACTAGGAAAGCAGACTACAAAGTCTATTATTCCTAAAAATTATTCGATTATATATTGACTCGGCTTTTGATGCTGATCAAGAATATATACACTTTATAGGGTATATATTATACACTGCCGCTCACCGAATAGCCCACCCAAAACATTCATATTAAAGCTGCAATAACTCACAAAATAAAAATTTCAAAACTTTTTCAAAGTTTTATTTATTTATTAAACTATGTTTATATATGTAATAAAAATAATACAAATTAATGCAGGTTGTTTAACAAGAATAACAAAAAAAATAATAATAATTCAAAAAAGTAACAAAGTTTTAACTGAAAATTTGGCTCACTTGAATAGCACATTCTACAGGAACTTCTCTGATGAACTACTCTGATGATTTTTTCGGAAGAATTAATTATATTTATAATTTAATTAATGAATTAGAAGCTTTCTTGACATATTTTCTTAAAATTCGTAATGAGTGGATACGCCACGATAATGGATGACTTCAAATATCCTGCTGGGTAAAGAGTCGTACAAACTCTTAAGGTAGTCCAGGCCGCTTGGATGGCATTAATGAGATCATTCTTATTATCATATTGCTTTCCGGACTCATAGACTTTTCTTGCTAACCATCCCCAAACATTTTCGATTATATTTAAGTCGGGCGAATAAGGTGGCCAATGTAATGTTGACACGTTTTCTTTATCAAGCCATGATTTTACGATCCTTGCCTTGTGTATTGGGGCATTGTCTTGCTAAAACTTCCATTCCAGGCTTCCAAACAAGTTTTTTGCCTCAGGAAGGGCTTTCTCTAGAACTCCTTTATATGCTGTTGCATTTATTCTTGATGTTAAGAATTGCAGTTGGAGTGTGCCGTAGTAGGAAATCGCTCCCCATACCATTCTTCCATACACCACCTTCTCGACTGTGAATTTTTTTAAGAATGTGTTCCTCTTTACGCAAATCATGGAAATAAAAGTTATATCCATCGGGCCCCTCAAGGTTAAACTTTTTTTCGTCCGAAAAAACGACTCGATACCACTCTCGATTGAGAGACATGTTAGCTCGGCAAAAGACAAGGTGTAGGGCCTTTCGAGATGCGTTTAACGGTGGTTTTTTTTTTTTTGTAATTTACGACGCTTTAAATCAGTGGTCGGCACGGCCCTATCCCGAGGGCATAGGAAATTTCTCTGCCCGAGCTCTGCCACACACATACAGTATAAATGTGTGAAACGTCATGCTCACAGCCTATTTTCTGCTATTCGTTACTAACACTAATGCGTTAAAATCATATCAATGTATTGGGGTGCCGAACACTGCTTTAAATGTTCTGCTTTAGAAATAACGCGTTTAACTGTGGCCAAGCTAGCCTTCACACCGGATTTTTCCTTAATTTTTGCAGCAGAGTCATGGGAATTGGATGCATGCCTCAAAATAACTCTCCTGTCCGCTGGCGTAACTGCACTGGAAGTTCGTCCTTCCATGTTTTTTCCATAATTCTGGGGATTCTTCAAATAGTTGCTATAACTTTGCGACTTCGTTTTGTTCTTTTTCCTATTTCTTGTAAAGAAAGTCCAACCTCCTTAAGAGCATGAATTTTTCCTTTTTCTTCGTCGTTCAACGGTTTTGCACGACCCATTTTTCGTAGTTTCGAATATCTTTGATTTTATTTTATTAAACTTTATTCAAATAATAATTTTTGTTTAATTTTCCCACTTTATGATTTATGAAAACGATCGCGAAATGATAATACAAGCAAATGCACTATTCAAGTGAGCCGAAAAATTGGGCTTTTTTAGTTAATCCAAAAGGGAATCGCTGATTACAACCAACAACTATCTACGAAATACGTGGAGTTTTTGGTTTTAGCGTAGTACTGAGACGACGAAAATCCGCTGTCGCACGAGTGACAGATGTCAAACTCCATATAAAAAAAACGGTGTAAAAAAAAATAGGAAGAAGAAATTATAATCTCCTAGATTTTTCCGGTACTCTGACGACGAAAATTTTTGTTATCGAATTGAATGGCGTTGCCGGATCAAAAAAAATAAACAGCTGATTTTGGGGTGTTGAAAGAATTAATTTTATTTATTTCGATAGCTGAAACATGGAGGCAAAATTTATGAAAGGAAAAAATAGTCGGCCCGAAAAATTTTCGGCGCGCGAGGATAAATTGAAATTAATTAGTGCGGTCAGGGCAAAGCCCATAATATAGGATTTGACCCGCAAGGGGCATTTTAATGCCATAAAATGGCATTGAAATGATTTGTGATTGATTTTGATTTTGACCCAGTTTTCTTTTTCTTAATCAGCTCCTTAGCGGCGAAATACATAAACAAAACACCAACATCCAATCGTTTTGAATTCATTTTTGCTTATTTGTTTTTTGTTTACAAACAACAGCTGTTCAGTATTACCCTTTTTCTTAATTTTTTTGGTCACACTTGCTCGGTAGCTGAATAAAGTGCGATTTCGCTAGCGGATTTTCGTCATCTCAGTACTATGCTTTTCTAAGTACTAAGTATAACAAAGAAAAAAAACAAAAAAGATACACTTATGTAGAGTAAACTATGAGATTAATGCTTTTTTGTATTAAAAAGTATGATGGGCTATTCAAGTAAGCGGCAGTGTATAATATAAAGCATAGGAATGAATAAATTACGATTGCAATATACGAATAAAATTGGTTTCGAAAATAATATAATCTGTAATCTGAAAGTTCAAAGCTTCTATCTTCAATTTGGGTCATTTCCGATTGTTTAGTTATATGATAGCTATAGGATATAGGATATGTTTTGAAATTTGGTATGTCGTTTTATTTTGCCAAAAATGGATGCCAATCAATAGAAAATCCTAACGCTCTAAGTTTAAAAACATCAAAGTTAAGGCATTTCCGATTAATCAGTTATATGACAGCAAATAATATAGCCGGCCTATCCCGGCCGTTCCGACTTATATACTGCGTGCGAAGGAAAGAAGAATGCGTGCAACGTATCAAGTTGATAGCTTTAAAACTGAGAGACTCGTTTTCTAAGGGTCCTCACTATATCCGACCTATCAATTTTCGTAAGGATCGGCGAAATATCCTATAGTTGCCACATAACTGAACCATCAGAATTGACTTAACTTTGGCATTTTTATATCAAATTCGGTTTCGTCCGAAGTTAGACTTCTTTCTTATTCTTATATTGCTTATTCTATATAAAAATTATATTTATGAAGGCCGAAGCCCGTCTTGCAGCGCGCCGACAAGCACGCGCCGAAGCCCGTGAAATACGTATGAGAGAGCTGGAGCGTCAGCAAAAGGAACAGGAACTCAACGCTGACCGAGTATTTGATTTACAAAACATAAGCGGAGGAAATATTGTCATAGATACCCATTCGACTAATTCTCCACGGCTCATATATGGTGGTCTACTTAATGCCAACCGTACTTCAGCATCTCGTCGTAGCAGTGAAGACTCTTTGGAAGAAGTTTTCGCGACTTTAAAATCGAGCTTAAAGTAAGTAGTTTTTTTGAGATTTTTTACCCTTTTAATCATTTTAAATTAAAGGACGTTGAAGAGCGCTTTAGAAAAGCCATGATAACAAATGCGCAGTTAGAAAATGACCGTGCATCACAAGCCTTTGAGGTTAAGCTACTGAAGGACAAATGCGAAATAATACAAGAGTCTTATGTACAATTGCAACGTGAATTCAAAGAGAAGTTACGGGACTGTAATATGATTAAACGAAATTTGGACCGTGCAACTATAGAGCTTAACTTGGTCCAAGGGCAGTTAAATGAACGTGATCTATTAATATCGGAACAAGGTCTTATTATTGTAGCAATTGAAATTTCTGATGGCAGCGACGCCAAACGAGCTCTTGTCAGTATTGAAAACGCCAATGTGTTAGCGTCTGTTCAAGGTTCTTTAGGTAATATATTTAGATTTTTCTCTTTTATTATAAAAACAATTAAGTAAATGTTGTAACTATTTTAGATGAAAGACTTAAAAAATTTAGTACTGAAAAACAGCAACTACTGTCTGAGGTGCACATGCTTCACCAACAACTTGACCAACATAAAAGCGGCGTTATGGTTAGAACAGGCTTTACCCATGGTGTTGAAGAAAATTATGAGACCCAAAGTAAGTTCATAGGTATATTCAAATTGACAAATACATCTGCGAAAAAAAAAATGTTAACAGAATATACTTAAATGGTCACCGTTCTCATATTTTAAACTTTAGGGATACACAGAGTATCCTTGAAGAATTGTAAAACTTTATAAAATGTTGTATGGTTTATAAAAACTTATTAAATGTGCAATTTTAAAAAAATCAAAAAATAATGATTATTCTCTGAGCGAAAAAATAAAAATCAGAAAAAATCATTATACTTCGATTTTTCCGATTCTCTGTGTATTAGATTTTTTTGATATTTTACTGCATATCTCCTTAAGTATTTTTTAATATAAAAAATCTTCATATTCAGTTTTTTCCAATGTTTAATGGTGCGGAAGGCTGTTAGAGAAAAAATTATGGTACTAAATGGTACCTGTATATGTTGTCTAATGAGATGAATGAGCTAGAGTTACAGATCGCATTCGAATTGTTTCGAATGCATTCTAGAAGCCTATACCTTTAGACGCTGATAATAAAATAATTCCAAAGAGGAAGCAAGTCATTGTTTTTTTTCATAAATATTCATTATTATGTTGTATAATTTAGTTTACATATTTTACTTAAAAGAATGTAAAAATATTTTCAATATTTACAAATAAATATTTTTCCAACACAATTTTTCCGCTAAAAAAATGTTGTAAAATAATTTAATTTGAAAAAAACTCACAAGAAAACTAAACAAAAAAACACTATGAAAATAACAACGGTTAACGGCTGTGTTGGTTTAGGAGGTCGCCCACCGGGACAAGGCGTAGGTCGTTTTGGATGGCCTGGTTTGTCACGTACCAGGGAAGTCCGGATGCCCGTCGAGCAGCACGTGCCTGCACTACCCTCAGCCTGTTTAGCTGGTGCTTGTATGCGGTGCCCCATACCTCGATCGCATACGTCCAGGTTGCCGTGAGGATTGCTTTGAGCAGCAAAACTTTCGTCGAAAGCTGGAGGCTTTTGGATCCCAGGAGCCAGTCAAGCTTTTGTAGTTTACGAACACATTTGGCTTTGATGTACACCTAAGTAGCAGTGAGAGGTGGCGTTTTTAATGGTGTCACCATTGAAGGTATGTATGATGTCGATCACAAGTCTTAGAGAAAAAGTGACGCATGCCGACTTGCTGCAATTTATGGCAATGTTCCATTGCTTGGTCCAGCGCTCCATTGCATTCAGCCAGTCCTGAACAGCAGCCGAGGCTGACAGCTGAGACGTGTGGGATGCAAGCAGGGCCGTGTCGTCGGCGCAAGTAGCCAGAACCATACGAGCGTTTGTGGTGGGCGACGGAACTGGCATATCACTTGTGAACATCGTGTATAGGAACGGACCAAGTACACTTCCTTGGGGCACTCCTGCGTGAATGTGTGCCAAGCTGGATCGTGAGTCCCTTACTGCTACAACGAAGGTTCCATCGGCAATGAAAGACCTGAGGATGGCGAAATAGGGCGTAGGGAGAAGTTCCTTGATTTTGTAAAGAAGGCCCTCGTGCTACACCTTGTCAAAGGCTTGCTTTACGTCGAGGAAGACGCCTACAGTGTGCAGTTTATGCTCGAGTCCATGGGTGATGTGGTTGACCAGGCGATGGACTTGTTCTGGGCAGCCGTGGGATTTTCTGAAGCCGAACTGATGTTGAGGAATATGGCCTTCTACTTGTGGTAGCTCCAACAGTCGGCTGAGTAGAATCCGCTCGAACACTTTCGAGAAAGTGGATAACAGGCTGATTGGGCGGTAGGAGTCGATGCGAGATGGAGGCTTGCTTGGCTTTGGGATCATGATGATCCGGGCTTGCTTCCACTGTCTTGGAAAATGTCCCAGGCTTAGCATGGCATTAAAAATTTTCACCAGCGCTAGCACTCCTTTGGGTGGAAGAGCCTTGGCCGCTCGATTGCCGATGTTATCGGGTCCAGGAGTTTTTTTTTAAATTAAGCGCCTTTAACTGCAGCGTGACTTCTTGCGGCGTGGTGTGTCTGATGGGGCGCGATGGCTGAGAGGGAGCGCGTAAGAAGTTTGCAACCTCATCGCGGTGTGAAGCGTTTGTAAGTTCAAAAGGAGTGAAGGTGGCAGACAGACGTTTCGCAAAAGCGTTGGCATTGTCGGAGTCGTTCTTAAGCCAGCGATCACTGTGGCTTTGTATTGGGGATTGTACAAGCGGCTGTCTTTTAATTCCTCTCGTTAGCTTCCATATCGAAAATTCGCTGCAGTTGTCCGGGCCAGCTCCCTCCAGCAGGGTATCGATGTTCTTTTCGCGGGTTTTCGCTAGCAACCTGCGCAGTCTATTAGTAATGCTAGATATACGCTGCTTAGTTGCAGGATCGCCTGACACAATGAATTGCCTTCTGAGGGGCCTTTTTAGATCCAGGAGTGCTCTTGCCTACGGGGTTAGTATTGGTGCCCTTCTATTAGATGGGTGACCAGATTGGCGCTGAAGTGGCGTAGCTCTCTGGGCGGCTTCAGTAATTGCCTCCAGATCGCTGCAGGTTGCTATTGGTGTGTTGAGCACGGTGTGAGCATCGATGTAGGACTTAAAAGTGGCAACGTTTGCATGCGCAGGTAGCATTTTGGGGACTCCTTTATGGAATTGAGCTTCTTCTTTTATTATGAAGAGCAACGGAAGGTGGTCGGAAGATAGCTCTGTGAGTGCTCTGACAGAGTCCGGCCTCTGGCACACATCCTGTAGTTGCCCCACCATCTGTGTTTGGCATTCCAGTCACCTGCAGCAAGAAACTTATCTCCGAGATTAGAGAGGAAAGTCGTGAAGTCTGCTTCCGGCCACCTGAAAGCAGGGGGCAGTACACCGAAGCAACGTTAAACCTCCCTCTTCTTGTAGATATCTCGATGGAGACGGCTTGTATGTGCTCTTCCGAAAGAGTGAAAGAGAGTTGATGGGCTATGGCTGACTTGATCGCTGCGCCCCCATGTCGCCGGTCATCCGGATGATCGGCTTTGTGCAAAGTGAATCCAGGGATCCTGAGGGTGGACCGCGAACAGAGACGGACTTCTGACAACAAAAGGTTGTCTATTTCGTAAAGCTCTATGAAAGCAATGATCTCGTTTGCTTTCGAGTTTATCCCATTGGGGTTCCAGCAGGCTATTTTAAGCGCTCCCATTGCGGAGGATTGCGTCTGCAGGATTGCTTGCATTACAGTCTCTACTAGGGACATCATCCTGTCGAGCCTCATGAAAAGCTGTTCCAGTTTGGCATTCAGAGCGGCGTTTCGGTGGAATGTGTTGGAGGGGGAGTATTTTCCATCTCTTTGTGAGGGATAGGTAGGATTCTTCTGGCTACATTTGCAAATGATTCCTTACCAACATTGGGTGAGAGATCGGTTGAAGGAAACGTGTTCGATTCTGTGGCTGCTGTGAGCCTTAAATGAGCATTTTGCTTAAATGCGACTTGCAGATATTTGCGCATTCTCTAAAGTTGGCCGCGTGAGAGCTGCCGCAGTGAAAGCAGCACCTAGGGTCGTCCTTCCCAAGCTTGCACTCCAGGGTAGGGTGGTTTTCACCGCATTCTCTGCAGATGAAATGCCGTGTGCAGTATGCTATTGTATGTCCGTATTCCTGACATATATGGCATTGTACGGGACCGGATTGCTTGCGTGGTTTCTCCCAGGTCACTACGTGTCTGCAAACAGCAGAGATGTTCTTAAGAAGCTTGTTGTTGTCAGCCTTCTTGATGTCCACAAACTTCATGTTAAGCGGAAGCTGTGTTACCTTATTACGAGGGGTATAGATGCGCAGAACGCAGTGACCCTCTTCCTGCAGGCACTCAATAATATCCTCCGATGGGACATCATGATGAATGTTCCTCATTACCATGCGAAAGGGTCAGTCTTCTGGCAGCTGGTGGTGGTGGAAAACAGTTCCTTTTTCGCGGAAGTGTCTGGCAACAAGCCTGTAGGCGTCGGAGGAGTTGCACTGAATGGCACAGTCACCTGAGTTCAGCGCTTTGATGGAGTAAGAGTCCCCAAAGAAGAGCATCTAGCTCTCTGCAGAAGGCAGATTAGCTAACTACACCGGGAACCATAATCCTTGGAACCTTGGGAGATCGAGCTGCTTGCGGTGCTGCTGTTTGGGCATGTCCTGAATTTTTGGATTTTGCCGGCAGTAAAGTTGCGTCGCACTTCGTTGTGGCGCGATTTATCGCGGCTTGCGAAGTAGAAGGCCCGACGTCCATTTCTTCCTCGTCGCTTAAGGTTATGAAGCGGTTTCCAGAATTGGCGGTATGGCTTGTCTTCTTGTGGCTGACCTTGGGAGAGAGAGCGGTACCTGCTCTCTTCTTAGCTGCACCTTTGATTGGCTTAGCGGTGACTTGCTGCCAGACTGGGGTGGGGTTGCATGATAGTAAGCTAGTGGAAGCAGGATCATGCCTCGTACTGGATGCAGCGGAACACAAGCTGCCATTCGAGCTTGTTGTGAACGTCATTTGAGATGTGATCGAGGACGTTACAGTACAAGTTGTGATGCAGCTTGTGGGAGCCCATCTGGTTGTACTGCCACCGTTTAAGCAGCTCTCCGTTAGACCGTCTCGCAAACTAGCTCGTAGTTCGGCGGGAGTTGCTCCAGCAGTATTCCTCATTGATTTAAAATCGATGGATTGTTTTTGAAGAGATGTATTTTTTTTGAAAAGTACAAAAATACAACAAATTTTCAGATTTAGCTTAATTTAAATTTTTTGTGTAGATATAAATAAGCATTTAGAATAATAGGGCATCGAAAATGTAAAAAACAATGTCTTTATTTTTCTAAATAATTATTTTTGACTATTTCATGATTTTTTAATACCATTCGTCTGGTATTGGGACAATAAAATCTTACTCCAAGTATGGAAGATCCCAATCGCATGTTAGCCCACTCTGGAGGAATGATGGCTCCCCAAGGCTAACAGGTGATGGACAAAATACAGGGAGTGAGAATGAGGTCCGCAAACAAAAGGATATTGGAGAAATATTACAACAAATCATGAGTATATCAGAGCAGTCGCTGGATGAGGCGCAAGCGAGAAAATATACGCTTCATTATTATCGAATGAAGCCGGCACTATTCTCCGTCTTGTGTGAAATAAAGGAGAAGTCTGGTACACTGACGAGCAAAACTGTAACACAAGTTCAATGTTTCAACTTCAAAGGTCTGTAACTTTTTTTCTAATGCACGCATTTTGAAGATCTTAGTCTTGTTTTGTAGGTTATATAATTTACTACTATTTAGTAAAACTTGGAGCCATTTGATACCAGTTAAAGAAAATGACACGCCAAACTGTAAAAATAGTCAAATTTTACAGTTTTGCACTCACAATGGCAAAGCTTTGGTTTTTAGTTCTAATGCTTAGTTAACCGTTTAAGTTTATTTGTTTACATTTTATTCGCTGAGCTTTTAAGGCCACATGGCAAATTAATTTGTAATGGATAGTGAAAAAAAAAAGAAAATTCTTGATTTACTGGAAGCTAGTGAATCTGTTCGTAAAGTGGCTATTAAATTCGGTGTTAGCCATATGACGGTGCAGCGACTCAAAAAAGACATCATTCCAATCAATCCAGGAGGTCGCCCCAAAATTATGAATGAACCTGAGACACGCCATGTCGCTAACTTGGTAACAAGCAATCCAGAAATCACCCCAATAAAAGCGGCTTCAATGCTTAATTTGAATGCCAGTGCTTGGACAGTTCGCCGAAGTCTCAACAAATTGGGTCTTAAAGCTAAAGAAATGAAAAAAAAAACCATTTCTTACAAAAAGACACATAATGCTGCGTATAACATAAAAACTTTGCTGCAACATACACCAATTGGACAATAGCGGGTTGGGATACTGTAAGTCATTGCTACCAGTGTCTTAAAAAGCAAAAAATTCCAAAATATTTTTGTTTCCAAGGTTATATGGTCGGATGAAACAAAAATTAATCGTTTCGAGTCAGATGGTCGCTCTTGGTATTGGACTAGAGATCCTACGATCCAGTCACCAAGGAATGTACGACAAACCGTCAAGCACGGTGGCGGTTCCATCATGGTTTGGGGATGCATTAACTCAAATGGAGTTGGTCCCTTCGTGCTAATCGATGGAATAATGGGTAAGGAGCAATATCTAGCCTTTTTGCAAGAAAATCTTCCGAAGGTTATTGGAAATATGGGTTTTTCTGCCGAAAAATGCGTTTTTCAGCAAGACAACGACCCGAAGCACACGTCCATATTGGTAAAAAATTGGATTTCGAAACAGAAATTTCAATTTATGAAATGGCCACCACAATCCCCCGATATGAATCCAATAGAAAACTTGTGGAGTCATGTCTAATCGCAGCTGGCGAAATACGCAGTTCCTCCAAGTGGAATGAAGGAGTTGTGGGAGAGGACACAGGACGTATGGAATGCTATTCCACCGGAAATGGTACAAAGGTATACCCAAAGTATGCCAAATTGCATAGAAGATCTGGAAAAGTCCAAGGGGATGTGGACTCATTATTAAATAATTATTAATAAAGTATTTGTTAAAAAAATAACCAGAGTGCAAAACTGTAAAATTTGACTATTTTTACAGTTTGGCGTGTCATTTTCTTTAACTGGTATCAAATGGCTCCAAGTTTTACTAAATAGTAGTAAATTATATAACCTACAAAACAAGACTAAGATCTTCAAAATGCGTGCATTAGAAAAAAAGTTACAGACCTATGAAGTTGAAACATTGAACTGGTGTTACAGTTTTGCTCGTCAGTGTATGTGTTATCCTTATTGCTTTTTTATACCCTTGCAAAGGGTATTATATTTTTGTCCAAAAGTGTGCAACGCAGTGAAGGAGACATCTCCGACCCTATAAAGTATATATTTATTCTTGATCAGGATCGTCTCCTGAGTTGATATTAGCATTTCCGTCTATCTGTACGTCTGTCTGTCTGTCCGTTTCTACGCGAACTAGTCTCTCAGTTTTTAAGCTATCGTCTTGAAACTTTGCACACACCCTTCTTTCCTTTGCACGCAGTATATAAGTCGGAACGGCCCGGATCGGCCAACTATATCCTATAGCTGCCATATAACTGATTGATCGGAAATGGTATAACTTCGGTATTTTTAAAGTTAGAGAGTTCAAATTTGATACTTCGGGCGGAGCCGAAGTTGATATACCCTTGCAGTTAAAACCGGATATATATCGCAAACATCGGATATAGTTGGGCGATCCTTATGATTACATCATAATAAAACCAATTAATTACAATAAAAAATCTAAAAACAAGAAAGGAAAGCTAACTTCGGGCGGAGCCGAAGTTTATATACCCTTGCAGCTAAAACCGGATATATATCGCAAACATCGGATATAGTTGGCCGATCCTTATGAAATTTGGTAGGATGGATCAAAATATAATCTGTACCAAGTTCCAGCTTTCTATCTTCAAAAACACAAAAGTTGGGTCATTTCCGATCGTTCAGTTATATGGCAGCTATAGGATATAGTCGGCCGATCCTTATGAAATTTGGCATGTCGTATTATTTTGCCAAAAATAGCTCTCATGTCAAATTTGAACTCTCTAACTCTAAAAACACCAAAGTTATACCATTTCCGATCAATCAGTTATATGGCAGCTATAGGATATAGTCGGCCGATCCCGGCCGTTCCGACTTATATACTGCGTGCAAAGGAAAGAAGGGTGTGTGCAAAGTTTCAAGACGATAGCTTTAAAACTGAGAGACTAGTTTGCGTAGAAACAGACAGACGGACAGACGGACAGACGGACAGACGGACATGCTCATATCAACTCAGGAGGTGATCCTGATCAAGAATATATATACTTTATAGGGTCGGAGATGTCTCCTTCACTGCGTTGCACACTTTTGGACAAAATTATAATACCCTCTGCAAGGGTATAATAAGCCCCAAGCTTCTATCTTCAAAAATACGAAAGTTGATATTTCTACCAAATACCATTTCCAATCGTTCAGTTATATGCCAGCTATAGGATATAGTCGGCCGATCCTTATGAAATTCGGCACGTCGTATTATTTTGCCAAAAAAGCTGTCGTGTAAAATTTGAACTCTGAAACTTTCTAACTCTGAAAACACAAAAGTTATACCATTTCCGATCAATCAGTTATATGGCAGCTTTAGGATATAGCCGGCCGATCCCAACTTATAAACTGCGTGCAAAGGAAAGAAGGGCGTGTGCAAAGTTTCAAGTCAATAGCTTCAAAATTGAGAGACTAGTTCGAGTAAAAACAGACAGACAGAAGGACAAACGGACATGCTCATATCAACTCAGGAGGTGATCCTGGTGAAGAAAATATTTACTTTATAGGGTCGGAGATATCTCCTTCACTGCGTTGCACAGTTTTGGACAAAATTATAATACCCTTTGCAAGGGTATCAAAAATCGTTTTTTGCGCGACTAGAAAATCGATCGGAAATGACCCGACTTTCGTGTTTTTGAAGACAGCAAAATTGAAACTTTGTATAGATTATATATTTGGTCAGTTTATCCGACCTGCCAAATTTCATAACAATCGGCCGACTATATTTGGTAAAAATACCAACTTTAGTGTTCTTGAATATAGAAGTTTGGGACTTTTTTTTAGATTTTGTTTTGTAATACATTGCTTAGATTATGATATTCTAATAAGGATCGGACAACTATCTCCGATTTTGGCGATATATGTATATCCGGTTGTAACTGCAAGGGTATATCAACTTCGGCTCCGCCCGAAGTTAGCTTTTCTTTCTTGTTTAAATAAAGTTTATAGATTTTTTTACACTTGCAAAGGGTATTCCAATTTTTTCTAAAGTATGCAACGCAGTGAAAGAGACTTCTCCGATCAAGAAAATATCGAGCCCCATTTGCGAAAACAGTGTAAGCGCCAAGTAAATTTTACGGGAGAGGGTTTTTTCGCATTCTTTTCTCGGCCACAAATATGGGCGTTTGTCGCTTGACAGGCCAATATCTCAGTAAATAGATGCAATTAGTGTTTGATATTTTGGAAGCAAATGCGGTTCGTAATTATGTATACATTTGCAAAAAAAAAAATGTTCTGAAAAATGGCGCTTACGTTATTTTCGCAAATAGGGCTCAATATGAGTGTTGGGGATAAAAACGAGCCAAATTATGTTGCTAGTAATATTGATTTTTTGGCTTTTTTTATATTTTATTTTTGTCTTTTTTTTTAACTTTTGCTAAACGCATATAAGTTTTTCAACTTTTATATTTATTTTTATTTTTTTTAAGTTTTGCCAAACGCATATAAGTTTTACAACTTTCGAGCGGTGAGCCACTAAGTGACCAGAGACACCATTATTTGTTGTTTTTGGATCATAACACACGTTGCAGTTTTGGTTTCGTCTTTTGTTTTCGATATATTTTCCGAAAAATCATTTATTTACATATGTTCGTCGTTTATTGCATTAGAATTCGTCACAAAAAAACATACTATATTGTTTTTTTATTATCTACTTATACATAATTTATGATTGCCATGTATTTTAAAAAATAAATAGAAAATTACATACGTATTGAAGCATATAAATTTTGTTTCGGCGTCAGCAACAATTTTTTTTCAACTAAAATCGAGTAAATCATACATACACATCCATAAATTTGTATATATAACTTCTATGCTAGTTTCCGCTAACTTAAGTCTTGATTAATTTTTAATTTTTCAGTCTAATAAAGACTTATTTTATACTAATTTTTGCTGTAATTTTAAATCATGAGAATATAAGGAAACACGACAAAATTGTTCAAACAATTCTTAATATAAAACATCCAACGAATTTTCCAATCGATATTTAGATAATTTGCCTATGAATCACAAAAAATATCGGAAAAATTGCCTATAACACAAATATACCCCAAATGCACTGGCTCAAATGAGTCTATTGATCTTCTAGGAATTCATCGGTTATTCATTAGTTACCAGAACTTAAAAATAATTTAAATTAACGGTGATTCCTTCTTTAATAAAAGTCAATATAGTGGATGGAGAAATGAAAGATTCTTAGTTAATCTTGCCAGCCGAAGGCTTAAGATGCCTGAGCTTAAATATTAAGTAGTATAAGTTTTGTAGACTTATATTTTCTTAAATAAATAAATAGTTGGTCTTGGTCTTGATCCTTCGATAATGTGCAACGATAATTCTATAATAACACTTTGTAGACCTCGGTAGTCACTAAAATATTTAACTATATTTTCTCTCTTATTTCTTATAGCTATTAGGTCACTTCACCCCGGGAGTATGAACGATTTCTGCGCTGGTGTGCGATTTCTGCACACTGTACAAAACGTTAAAATAATAATATATTAAAAAATAAATTTTATACTCATGTTTCTATTTAGACAGTGTTGTTGCCATCGGTAGGAAGGGAGTTTTTCAGTTATGTACTCTTATATGAATGTTTCAGACTGGGTCCTTATTTTCGACTCTGCTTGGTGATCCAGGATGAGAATAATTGGATGTCGAAGCGGATATAGGTAGGTACCACTGCCTTACATAACGGTTGGCAAAGTGAGCCTCCCAGTCGAGTACTTCATTTATAGCCTACACCACTAGTTCAACGCTAGTCTCCAATTTTCAAGATGAATGCAATCATCAATCAAGATGTCAGATAATCAAGACATTATACTTGATCTTGTATTAACTCAGAAAAAAGTAAAAGGTCACGGCTAAAATATAAGCACTTCGTCTAATTGCTTCACTTCAATATAAGGCAAATACATCGAAAAGAGAGCAATTATCAATATGGATCTTAATGTTGATTTTACTTTTATGTTGGTCTGGAAAATTTATTGACGCTTTTAAAACCTGTGGAAAAGGTCAAGAGCCACAGAAAATTTCCGCCGACAGTTTTTGTAGTCGCGCCTTCAAAAAGGCAAATTTCTAAGCCTAAGCTTAGCATCATCCATCGGTAGGGTATGCAAGCACAATTCACATGCAGAACAATAAAAACTTAAAAGCAATAGTCGTTTTAAGTGATGTAGACTGAAATATACCCTGTGCCTTTCTCAGTATATTCAGAAAGGATGATTCGTAAAAATATATATATACAAAACATTTTACTGCCTACACCTGATCTTTTTCCTAAATAAATTTAAAAAATGTAAAATGTTTCCTTTAAAATTAAAAATTTAATATAACTTCTTTCGTCATTTCACCCAATAACGAATACCCGAATTTTGTTAGGGTAGACAGCCTAAAAAGTTAGAAAATTCAAAAATTTTGTGCGCTGGCTTCGAAACGAAATCGCAAAAATTTTGTTGAAATGCGCTGGAAAAATAAGACGGCGATTCCTAACCTCTTATTTAGGAGATCCAAAGCGACACAATATTTATTATTTGTCAATTCCAGTAAGGGAACTATTTCTAACGCTGAATCACGCATGAAGGACCGCATGCACTGGAGTTTCTCAACCAATATACGGGTTGGCATTTACGGGATCGATAAACGGGTTGGCATTTACAATAGCTGAGAACCATCCATCGACCATCGAGTGGGCGGGCAGAAAACTGGAGGGCAGGATTACTTCCTCATCGATGACAAACCGATGACAAAAACTTCCTCATCATTGCCAATTCATTTAAGGTCAACCTCTCTCATGTGAGAGGTTGAAAAAATCGATTTTTTTTTTTTTTACATATTTCGATAATATTGTTTATTAAGAATGTACTGTTAAAGTTTCAAATAAAAATATCAAATAATGTTAGCGATACAGCCCATAATCAAGAGCGCGCCGACACCGAAAAGTATGAGTTTCTCGGTAGCGTCTAAACCTTAAACGCGTTTTTCTCGGAACGACATTTTTGTGTGCGGCGCAGGTGATTCACAAAATTCTATGGTACCGATCTAGCTGAAATTTGGATATGTTGTTCTAAAAAGTAACACCTCTGTCCCGTACTATAATCAATTATTTTTAATGATTAGTTTTTTTTTTATCATTAATTTAAGATAAATTTTTTAAATTAAAAAAAATTTTTTTTTTTGTGAGTTCGCCATTTTGTTGTTTATTGATGAAAATATTTCATTCTAGTACGGGACAGAGCCATAAGCTAACAAAACAATAATCTATTCTAATTTTTTGTTTCGGATGACTCTAGCAGTCGAAATCACCTGCGCCAGAGACCTACCTTTTTTTTATATGCATACTTTGGCATGCTAATATATTAAACAAAATATTTTCAAATAGTTTATGATGCCTATAAAAACATATGTGAAAATTGAAACGATCGCATTATTTCTTATTACAAAAAATTTTTTTTGAAATAACCTCTAAAAAGTAGGCCGGAACATGAGACTACATCCTTAAGTTGATGGGCAACTCGCTCCTTAGCTCTTCGACATAAGATATAAGAGTTTGATATAATAAACTGGATGAACGCAAAAACTGGTATTTGTTTATTGGAAAGCTCGATGGCGTTTTTTAATCAAAGACTTGTCACCAATGTTAAGCCGTCGAACATTTTCCGTAACTGAAAAATAGTCCATTCAATTCCCTCGCAAGAATAAGCCCTATATTTCATCTATTTATGTTTATTTTCAAAGCTATCAGTCGCGAACGATACAGAATCAGAGAATCACAATGCGACCGTGGCTCAATGCTTTACAAAGATAAGGGGGCGATCGAAAATGAAACGAAAGAGTGCGAACATGAGAGAAACGGTCCCGAACAACACGACAGGTCTTCGATGTCTTAAAAGGGCGAGAGAGAGAGAAAAAAAAAAAATTGGAAAAATACAAAACAACGCCAATTTAGGGTGCGCGCGCAAAGAAATAATTAACAAGAGTGCGCCAACTTTAGACAATAGGCTGAGCGGATAATCGCTAGCTTGAAACGCAAGGCAATTTCTGATCGAAACCACAAATGGTTTCAATTGAAACCTCAATCGTAGGGTGATATGGATCCTCTAGGGTTGAAATGGCAAAGCTCTGGAAAAAGTGGTACCATCAGGATCAGATACAAAACATAACTCTAAAGAACGACCTAACGAATTTTTGGACATGGCCGCCCAAGGTGATCGCAGTCGGACATAAGATTAAAAACGGATTGAATAGCGGACAAATGATGCCAGTACCGATTTTGCCAGTCAAAATGATTTTAATGCAACTAAATTCGAAATCATCAAGCACTTGGTCAAGTGAGAGGTCGATCACGTCTAAAAGTGGTAAACTTACTTGGAAACTTCGGAACTTACTAACTTCGTAGCTAAAAATCTTCGGTTTTAAACAAGTTCCTATAAAGGCTATAACCACTAAACATACAGCATATAGACCGAACAGTCGTGTTTTTTTTGGGCGCACTGCGTTTTGACAAATATTGGTAAACCGGTGTTTACATACTTTGTGACTTAAATCTTTTGAATCTTAACAATCTTAAAGCCTAAACCGTATCGCTTCGCGAGTGCTGTTGTATATTTGGAGTCGAATTAATAATTTGTCTAAAATCTATTCCAAGCATAGCTCAGCTTTGCTTCTTCCCCGGCTTATCTCTATTTCTGCATTTCTCTTTTGCACTATTCAGGGCTCTCGCTTCGGCTTCCTATTTGGCACAGTGGTTCGAAGTATTGTGTTTTTTAACTTTTTAAATATTAATTTTTGTTTTATTAAATAAAAAAAAAATAAATAAATAAAATGGAATTTAAACTTGTCTGTGCCATTAAGTCTTGTAACAAGACAATTTCCTCATCCCAGCCTGCCATCCATTGCTGGCTATGTGAGAACGTCGTATATGCCAAGTGTGCCGGTTTCACTGCATCAGTTTCGGATGCCATTTCCCGTAGGTCTGGGATACATTATTGTTGTGAAAATTGTCGTGCTGTGCAAGGCGATATGAGGTCGTTCATGAGACAGACCAAAAATGGATTTAAAGAGCTGATCACTGGTTTTCGTAAAATCAATGACCAGCTCAGCTGCTAGATGAGTCCCCTAAGCGTAAGAAATCCGCTGTTTCTGATCCGCCTTAGCCTGCTCAGCCGACATTAATGCAGCCGCTTGTATCTCTGGCCACCCCAAGGGCTATATGTCCGCCATGGCATCCCTTCAAGTGATGCCACAGGTCCTAGGGAACGAAACCCCCATTAGAGTCACCCAAAAGGGTATTCCACAGTCCGGACTGATGCTGCAGTTCTCGTACCTGCGACACCAAAACCCTTACAGGTGATTCCTCCATCGAAAAATATATTTGTTTCTCGGCTTGCCCCTGATACTTCAGAGATTGATATCTCGGCTTATATCAAAGCCAAAACAAAAGCCGATATAAAGGTGGAGGACATAACTAAATTTAAATATAATTATACACGGCGCACGTCTTCTTTCAAGATTCGTGTGCCCGCGCTGATGTTCAAGACGATTTGTTCTCCCAGTTTTTGGCCAGAGAATCTTTTCGTCCAAGAACATCAGCCTAGTTCCGTGAAAAAAAAAGTTAATAAACCAGTGGGAGTGAGACTTCCCAATATCGGAACCACTGACCAACCCTCCACCTCTTCTTTGGCCACTAACCCAAAAAACTAGTTTCCTCACTAACTCTTACCTATCAGAATACTAGGGGGCTACGTAGCAAACTCCCCAAGCTATATTCTGATAGTTCTTTCTTTGCATCCCATATAATAGCATTTACAGAAACTTGGTTAAATCCGGAGATCTTTAGCTCCAAGTAAGTATCCAAGTAACTTACTTTTCCAAGTAAGTACACCACTTTTACACGGGATCGATCTCAGCGAAGAGGAGGTGGAGTCCTCATTTCGGTAGACTCTACTCTTGCTTCTGAAGAGATGAAATCCCATGAGTTTGGTGAC